GCATAGCATCCGCTAAGTTGGTAAAATTTATCATATATGGTGTTGAAATTTTTTAAAACTAGGTTAACTGGTTAAATGCTTATTCCTGCCACCCGCAATTATAAACTAGATAAATATGCCATGTCTGGTAGATTTTTTGAAAGTTTTTCTTGTGTGCAACAACAACAACAATCACCCAGTGTATTCCTACAAGTGGGGTCTGGAGAGGGTAGGATGTACGCAGCCTTACCTCTACCCCCAAAGGGTAGAGAAACTATTTCTGGTAGACCCTCTGCTAGAGAAAAGATGGAAAAAGCACTGATAGCAAGTAATAACAATAAGCACTGATAGCAAGTAATAACAATACAGGATAATTAGAAAACTAAATCCAAGACAACAAAAGAGAAGAAGAAAGAAGTATTGATAGCAAGTAGTAATTGTGCAGGATTAGTAGTGATAGCAAACTAACAGAGTACTGATGGCAAGTAATAACATTACAAGATATGTGGTACTAGCAAACTAAGGATAAAGGTGATACCATACTAACACTAATACTACTGCACTACGGAAGACAACGAGAAACGCTCGACTACCTACCCTAATTCTCAACCTTCACACCCTTCTATCACGGGTCATGTCCTCGGTTAGCTCAAGCTGCGCTATGTCCTGCCTGATCACCTCTCCCCAAGACTTCTTTGGCCTACCTCTTACCCTCAAAGTCCAACCTCTCACACCTCCTGACTAGGGCATCAATGCTTCTCCTTTTAACATGCCCGAACCACCTCAACCTCGCCTCTCGCATCTTTTCCTCCACAGGGGCCACTCTTATCTTGTCCCCAATAACTTCATTCCTAATTTTATCTAACCTAGTATGCTCTCACATCCATCTCAACATCCTCATTTCAGCTACTTTCATCTGTTGGACATGGAATTTCCTGACTGGCCAACACTCTGTCCCATACAACATAGTCGGTCTAACCACTACCTTGTAGAACTTACCTTAAAGTTTCAACGGCACATTCTTATTGCACAAAACACTGGAAGCGAGTCTCCACTTCATCCACCTTGCTCCGATACGATGCGTGACATCCTCGTCAATCTCCTCATCAGTCTGAATCACAGACCCAAGGTACTTAAAGATGTTCCTCCTGGGAATGACTTACGTATCAAGCCTCACATCCCCTGTCTGCTTCCTGGGTAACACCCCTGAACTTATATTGTGTGCAAAATCTAAGTTTAAATTTATCTTGAAGCTTGTCTTCTTTCTTGTTTTCTATTATCTTTTGTGGTCTCTAGCAAGAACACTAAAAAAAAAAAAGGCTCCAAACTTTAAAATCCTATAAAATAAGCATTCCTTTTAATTTCAAATCTGTAAGTTTTCTTCTTTCAAAGGCCTAATGAGAATTTTGTATTGATATCAAATTCCATTTTCATAATTTCTTTTTTTTTTTAATTATATCATAGAACTCTATGCTATTCTGTGGTTGTTAAATCAATTTAAATCTCTTTATTATTAAATTATGATGGAAATTTCGTAAGCATCACTTAAAAAAACATGAGACATATGATTTTGATTTATATCCTAGCAGGTGTCTTGACCTGGCCTCGTCACTACTCTACCGAGGTTAGACTTGATACTTACTAGGTACCGTTGTGGTGTACTCATACTACGCTTCTGCATAATTTTTGTGCAGATCCAGGTACATCTGCTCGTGTCGGTCGTTAGATATCATTTGTAGCAGCCTTACGGAGATTTCAAGGTATGCCTACTCGGCATCCGCAGGCCTCGAAGTCACCTTCTTTTGTTTTTTTACTACCGCTGTATTTATTTTCAGTCGGACAGTGATGTGTTAGACACTTTAGCTTACTCTGTAGAGCTTACGACTCGGTTCCACCGGTTTTGGGAATGTATTTGTTGAGACTCTATTTCAGGAGTTTATATCAGTTACTCAGCCTTGTTTTAGTAGTTCTGTTGATTATTCCTGTCAAGTTGTTATTAACTGCTAGGCTTACCTAGAAATCAATTTAAATCTCTTTACTATTAAATTATGATGAAAATTTTGTAAGCATCGCTTAGAAAAAACATGAGATTTATGATTTTAATTTGTGGAACTTGTATTTGATCTAATTCTATATGTATTTATAGGTATAATTTATCTATTGAAGATGTTTTTTTTTATATTCTAATTTATGCAATTCCCTCATTGAAGATATTATCTTATTTATGCAAATTTATTTTTAGTATTAAAAAGAAGTAATTTTCTGGTGAAAATACTGATTTTACTCGAGTTATTAATAATAAAGGTGTGATTCTTATTTAAAATACTAATTAGGTTTTTTTATATCCGAGACGTAATTTTGATATTGCAAATTAAAAACGCCTAAAGTTGACTCGAATAAATTAAAAAAAAAAAAAGATCCAAACAAAACATTCCGAACAAATTTTACATTAATCATTATTCCGATCAAATAAATATTCCAAAGCCAAATTTCCTCATGGCCTTCGTCGAAAAATTGTACAGTATATGATATATAATATATATTGAATATCCTTTGTGGTGAAATTTTTTCACTTCTTTTAAATTTATACACCCTTAGAGAAATCTCTAGCTTTGTCACTGCCCGCAAAGGAACTTTGGCCGACGAATGCAACACACAAAAAATAGCGGAGGAAGGATGAGAAAGCTGCAATATTCTGTTCCTAAACAGCTGCAACATCATTAGACTAAATTCTAATGTTTAGTTTGCCCACTTTGTGAACTTTCCTAAGGAACTTGTCATGTTATGTTCTTTGTCCAAAAAGTAGTCTTGTACCTTTCTTTTTCATGAACAATCCATTTCAATTCGTACATTTTTGCTGTGACCGCGTCGATGTTCAATGAATTAATTCCTATTACTCTCGGCCGAAATTGAATTGTTGTTATACATTGATAGCTATAACACCAAAAAAATATCTAATTCTTAACGAAATTCAATGGTGCGAAACCAGAGTGGGATTCACACTAAGGAAAAGACAAATGTTGCATTTGGACTAAATAGTGTACGAGAATTGCCTGTTTTGGTATATTCCTTTCATTTTCATTGTATGAACCTATTTCCCATTGTGTTTGAAAAAATATTAACTTTACTTTTTATTTATCTTTAATTGAAAGTTTTTATAGCTACTCAAATATTATGGTAGATCTAATACTATAAGTTTCAAAAGTCTTTTTTACTTTGTATCTAGTCAAGATTCACATAAATTGAAAAAAAGCATATTTACTTTGTATCGTTTACAATGATCATATGTTTGTCGTATATATGTTAGTATATAATATTTTTTAAAATACATTTAATTTATCCCACATGTTAATTGAGTAATTCGTTGCACAAGGCATCCCACGTTGGCCGTCGGGGAAGAGCCCCTCTCCAAGGGGTGTGATGTAGACAGTCTATTCTAATGTAAGTATTAGTGATTGTAACCACCGCTCGATATATTTTCCTTGTGATGGACCTGGAAGAGGGGGTACATGTCAAGTATCAGCCTGGGATCATGTCTTCTTAGGACTATTCTGGATGTACAATGCAATTTCGGTAGTACTATTCTATTTCAGTTGGAAAATCAGACCTATATAGATCATACGAAAATAACTTTACCACGTTTCAAATATTAAGTCAGATTATATTATAAGAAGAAAAATAGTCGACGCGTTGAATGATCTACCCTTTTGTCTACGCCAAATTGGACTTCCCCAGCCGCCAAGATATCAACTGATTTAATGTAGCTCTAATTAGTTAGAAGATTTTGCAATCTCTATTATTTGATTGATATTGATAATTAGGGGTGGCAAATGTGTGGGTTGGGCTGAATTTGGCGGGTCAAGATGGGTTAGGTCAATAAATGGGTCATTGCCCAACCAAACCTAAGTGTACATGGGCTAAGATGGGCTAAACAATGGATCATAACCAACCCGCCTAACTTGACCCATGTTTTAGAACCATGCATCTTACATAAAAAACACCTTTTACCTTAAAATGTATAAGTTGAAAACTATTTTATGTGGGGGGGGGAGGGGGGGGGGGGTTGTAGAAAAACGAAAAAACAGAAAATAGAAAATTAAAAATACAAAAAAAAAGAAATTTATAAGGGGGTTTGCGCGCACGCGCGGGGGATGGGGTGGGGTGGGTGATGCAGAAAAATAAAAAAATAAAAACAGAAAATTAAAAATACAAAAAAAAAAGGTAAAAAATTTTTTGTGAGGAGGTTTGCTCCGCGCGGGGTGGGTGGAGGGTAGTGTAGAAAAACAAAAAAAAAACAAAAATTGAAAATACAAAAAAATATTTTTTAAAAAAAATTTATTCGAGGGGGGGGGGGAGGGGTAAGGTGGGTGGGTGGTGCAGAAAAACAAAAGAAAAGAAAATTGAAAATACAAAAACAAAAGTAAAATTAGGGCAACTAAGTAAATTTCTAGATAAGTTGGGTTAAGATCCCTTTGTTTTGAGTGAGTTTCATGGGTTGTATTTGAGCTGCTTAATGGGTCGGAATGTGCTATAAAAAATAATGGGTAAACTTGGGTCAGCCCAAATTGACCTATGAGCTAATATGTTTGTAGCCTAACCCATTAATCTTTGGGCGGATTGGATGGGTTTGGGCTCAAATTGCCACCCCTATTGTGATTTTTTTCCTTCACTGTCTCCTTCCCAAAATAACTGGACCACAGTTAACTAATATATATTATCAGCTCACTAAATCACTTAACTATAGAAAATTAATACAATATGATATAAATACCAACTACGAATAAGTTATGAAGCTTACTACTCATTCGGTTCCAGTTTGTGTGAACGCATTTCTTTTTTATTTCGTTCCATAAAGATTGATCTCTTTCTAAGTTTAATATAATTTAAATTAAATTTTCAATTCTATCCTTAATGAGAAATTTTTACAGCGAGACACATACTCTTGCATGTTTAACTTGATCAAAAGGATCAGGAAACCTCCCTGGAGATTCAATGATACTATTGAGCAAATTCAAAATATGACTAAGGATGCTAACTTTCTCTTTTGTCATACCTTGAGAGAAGGAAACAACTCTGCTGACAAGCTTGCTAACCTTGGCAAAGAATCCAAAACTTTTTCTATCTTCAATGAGGTTGTATCATTTACCATTGAATGTTAGAGCCTCAATGAAGTTAGAAGTTGACGGGGTCCCTAACTTCAGATTCATACAGAAAAAAAACAAGTTTGTTATCGATGACAACACCTGACAATAAGCTTCTTTCTATCACCTTTTTGTATATAGCATCCTTAAGTGTTGCTACAAATTACCCTAGGATGCACAACTTTCTTCTGTTCAGGCAAAATATTTTTGTTCAAATGTGTATCATAGGATGAGTGTTGTCACCTATCACACTATCTTGAAGCCAAGGCCTATGTTCTCCTCCGTGTAATTATGATTTTTGATATATATATAGGTTGGAGTCATGCCTTAACTCCTCCTTCATGATGATGGAACTATAAATTTAAAAAATAAACAAGTTTCAAAATAATTATAGCCACAAAAATATTATGACTTATTTAGGATCACAAGTTTTAAATTTTTTTATTTCTTTCTTAATAATCATACCCAGTCAAATAAGTTCATATAAATTAAAACAACCAGAAAATAGAAAGTACACAAAAAAAGGGCACGTGTTTTAAGTTCCAACAGTCATACTCCCAACGTATAAACGTTGGTAAATTGAATCTAACGTATTAACGTCCTCACATATATTATTGATTCTTTCACATTAATTTATTGTAATAGAGAAATGGAGGGAGAGGAGATTGAAAAGTGACAACTACATATGACGTATAAATAACGTCACTAGCTCTGTTTTCATTTTATCTATAAAATGCGTTCTATAATAAATTATTATCCACTGAAATCCATTCAGCTGAGAACTAATAACTTCATTTGCAGTTTTGCCACTTCCTAAATTAGGTAAAAAGCTGCATCAAACACCTGCAGAAAACTGAAAAGTTTCTAAAAATAGTACTACTGATCATCAGAAGAAAAAAAAATGGAAAGTGGCCTGAGGTCTAATTCAGCTCCAAAATTGGAAAGAAAATATGTGGAGAAGAATAGAAGGAACAATATGAAGAACCTCTACAATCAGCTTTATTCCCTGCTCCCTAATCATGCCTCTAAGGTACGTTCTTTCTCCTTTTCCTTCTCTTCCAATTGCAGACGAGCCTTGGCGTAACTAGTAAAGTTGTTGTCATGTGACCAGAAGGTTGCGGGTTCGAGCTGTAGAAACAATCTCTTACCCCTGTGGTCCGGCCTTTCCCCGAACCACGAGCATACTTTTATCCCATCCCCAGCTCATATGCAGATGGCGCTTTTCTTCTAAAGGTTCAGGATTTAGGGTTAAGGGTTTAGGGTTTTACTCAAATGTATTAAAGTCTAATACATCATTTGCGTTGAATGCTGCAGGAAACATTGGCATTGCCTGATCAATTAGATGCAGCAACAAACTACATAAAAAGCTTAGAAACCAAATTGGAGAAGAACAAGACGTACTTAGAAAAACTAAGGATTAGCTGCAGAAAGAGGCCTCGATCATTCAATGCAACTGATTCTGAGCCCAGCTCAAGCACCGAATTATTGATCCCTCAGATTGAATTTCATGAAATGAGTCCAACTATGTTCGTCGTTTTGATCACTGGCCTTGATAATTTAGCTACATTTTATAACATCATTTGGTTATTACATGAGGAAGGTGTTGAAGTTGTATATTCCAACTTTTCACTCAATGGAAATTCTACGTTGCAGATTTCTCTTGAAACTAAGGTCAGTATACACATGAAGCAGTAAAAATTTGATTTGTCAAAAATTATTTTTTTAGAAAATATTCTCCGCAAAAAAAGTTATTTTCTGGTATTTGATTGTCGGAAAATATTTCTTTCAACAAAAGGGGCGAATAACTTCTCCACTTTTGGCGGAAATCATTTTTCTTCATAGTTTTCTCAATTTTTAACTTCATATCATTGCTTTAACCAACAGTTAGGAATTAATATCAATCTTTAATACTCAAATTTTTTATCAAGATACTCTCTAATGTGACCAGGAGGTCACGAGTTCGAGTCGTGGAAATAGCCTCTTGTAGAAATGCAGGGTTAGACTGCGTACAATAAACCCCTGTGGTCGGCCCTTTCCCGGATCCCGCACATAGCGGAAGCTTAGTGCACCGGACTGCCCTTTACTCTCCGGCTTGCTAATGTTAGTATCATTCTATAATTAAATATTTTTTCCAAAAAATATATTCCACTCTCCATTCTAACACGAAAAAACATTTTTTCCTAAAAATAAGTCATTTTCCGAAAATGTTTTCCAGAAAATGAATTCCGTCCTACCAAAGACACAACGCCACTTTCTTTTGGTTGTGTCTTATCTAAATCAAGAAATAATCAGTACTATAAATGACCATAGAGAATCGACATGAATAAAAAATCTTTTTGCAAGAGTAAAACTGTAAAAGCATAACATTTTGTCTATTTATTTTTTTGGTGTGTGTCTATGTGTAGATGGACAGGAAATCAACAATGGAATTTAGAGCTACAACTCTGTTTGATTAGTTGAAGGAATTGCTTTATGGATCATCTTGCAGCAATAATATGGAATCCCAACTACATTTATGGGAATACATATTTGAATCTGAACTGTTAGGACTTGATGCATTAGAATTTTTACCAATAGCAGGTCAAAATCCAACCTCGCAATATAATTACATGCAAAATGTTTAAGAAATTCCTAGCTCTTTCTAAAGCTGAAGTAGCTTCTCATTCAAGAGGCAAATGATTGAGATCATGTAAAATTTCTCTCCAATTTTGGTATCTTAGCTCTGTCTTAAGTCTTAACTGTTGATAATATATATATATATATATATATATATATATATATATATGTATGTGTGTGTGTGTGTGTGTGTGTGTGTGTGGATCGGGTTGCACGCCGCAACAAGCCTTATGGCTATATATATGTAGATCGCATTGCATACCGCAACGAGCCTTATGGCTATATATATGCGAGGATCGGGTTGCGCCGCAACGATCCTTATGGCTATATATATGTGGACCGGGTTGCATGCTGCAACGAGCCTTACGACTATATATATGTGGATCGGGTTGCACGCCGCAACGAGCCTTATGGCTATACATATATATATATATATATATANTATATATATATATATATATATATATATATATATATATATATATATATAACTTTCATTGATTTTCAGATAAAATATTCCATGTTGAAAATACTAATTCGAATAAACAACAACAACAACAATAACAACCCAGTAAAATTTCACAAGTGGGATCTGGGGATGGTAGAATGTACACAGCTTGCCCCTATCCTGGGAGGACAGAGAGACTGTTTCCGATAGACCCTAACTAATTCGAATAAAGTTGGTGCTAAAACGCTAGATCCTCATATGAGATGGTGTTTCCTAGTGCAGAGGCAGAGGGAGTAATAAATTTGCTTATACCACAGAAAATGATAGCATTTTCACAAGCACAAATGGATAGTAGTTTTTTGGAAAATTTCCAAGGAAATCCGGTCGCTACCATTTAGGTGTGCACTAGGTAATTTGTTCACTGTGCAATAACTCGTAGACCACACAGGAAATGTAAATCGCACTAGGCAAGCCCGGTGCGAGCTGTGACTGAAGAGGTTGCTGGTGAGGGGAAACGATCACAGGTTTCCCATGTGGAAAATCACTTACCCAACCAGCTCAGCCAACCCTTGCGGGCCAAATGGACAATAGTTTCTATAGTGATTTATTGACAGTTTGATACATAGGTTAGAGCAATGTTTTAAAAGGCGGGGGCATGAGGCGAGGCGTTTTACCTCTGACGAGGCGAGGCGTAAGCCTTGAGACATGGGGCGTAAGTCCCATGGATCTTTAAATTTTACTAAATTCATGAATTTTTAAGATAGTATAAAATAAAAAATAATTATAAAAAGTACATTAAAATCACAGAATTATAACAAATAATATATTTAAAATATTAATAAATTATAATTCAACTATTAATAATACGAAAAGTATGACATATATCATAACAAATAGTTGCAATGTCGTTACAACTCAAACATCAAAAGTAATATATTCGATACGAAATCTTATATGTATCTCTTAAGGAGTAATGAATCTTGAAAGAATTTCGATATTATAATTTGATATTTTTCTTAAAATACTCCTTTTATTTTATATGCTTTCTATTTGAAAGAGAATTTTTATAAAAACATAATTCACAATTTAAATATGATTCTCAAGCATCATTCATTTTTAAGTTTCAACAAGTTAATAAAGTAACACATAATTCACCATACAATACCATGATAACTAATTATTTGTACATAGTTACTAGCTAATACTGAGCTATTAAATTAATAAAGTATTGTATCTCGTAAACGTAAAAAAAAAAAATAATTAGAAAAATAATTATAAAAAAAATTATGGACTATTATATAGTAAAGACATAACAATAGTTAATAAATAAATATTTTTTAAATGAAAGATTTATTTAAAATTAACTATCATAGTAGTCTTAGTGAATAACGTACAATAATTTTTATTTTAATTATGACAAAACTCCCAACTTAATAATTTATACTTAGGAAAAAAGTAATTTTGAGTAGTCAACGATTTATTAAGAAAATTTGAAGATTTACAAGGTTAGTTACATACAATTGCATAAAGTTCTATTAGGCGAGTCCAGTACGCTGGGCGTTGGGCGTGTCCGGGGCGTAAGCCCCGATGGCCGAGGCGTAAGTCTCACGGAACTAAGCCCCACGCATAAGCCCAGGGGCGTTTTACAAGTGCTCCGCCCCGGGGCGAGTCCCAATTCTGCCTTTTAAAACAGACGGTTAGAGGCGTCAACAATTGAGTCAAAGTTCGCTTCTAGAAGTTGACGGTTGACACTTGACAACACTTTTGAATGTCGAAAAAACTACTGTACGAATTGGATACCAAATTATTTAAGAAGGTATAGAAAGATGTACCAAATAAAAAATCAATTCTCCAAATAGTGATACGTTATAGAATATTTGATAGGGAGCAATTTAATAATAAAATATTTTATGTATTGTTAAAAGCTAACAAAGAAAAAGTAATATTTATGCTAGTCAAAGCAAATGATGAAAAGTACTTTAGAGTTTAAATAATTGTTCTTCTCACTCAATCTTGGATTTCTTTTTAATGAACATGGACTAATCTCAACCGCGAAGACATGGCCCGTCCTTTGTAATAGGGGTTAGAGTTAGTCGTGTCCATGCATTAGGGACCATACTTTGCCATTAAAATATCTTCGTGTTTCCATTTTTCTCTAAAATAAATCTTATATTTTAAAATATTCATCTTCGATGTAAACTCAAACATTGAAAGAATCATAAAATGGGAAAAAGGAAGAGACATAACAAACTAACCACAAATTAAATTTCAATTACCAAAATGAGTAGTAGTTTTGTTGATTTTAAGTTATAATCTACTTTACTTTAGTACTATATATAAATGACTAACTAGGGTCGAACACCACTTTAAACTATTGTACTAGAAATAACATACATTGTACCATAAAGTTGGCCCATCTTATTGTGTTGTTTTCCCCTTTGATCAGTGTCAATTGTTACTTTCAATTTCCTTTTTTGACTAACACGTATTTACCTCTTTATTGTGTGAAATATTTGGCTTTTCTTATTTCATTTTTCTCCTTCCTGGTTTTGTGTCCCATTTCTTTGCTGCTTCCCCGAAGCTTTTTTCATTTTCTTTTTCCTCTAATTATTCGAATCTCTCTCTATTTTTTTCTTTGTGATGAAATTTGGGGACGTTGATTGCAGATTCTTTAAAAGAAGTTCTGCTCCTGCAATATGTCTTCAAGATTTCGACATGTAGCTCAAATTCTTCTTTTCATATTTGCACACAGCTAATTATTCGAGGAACACGCCAACGCTCAATGTTTCTGATAATTCCGTCGAACATTCTCAATTTGATGTTACCAACCCCCTATACTGGTAATGGATTATCATCTCCCATATAGACAGTCCCACTCATTTGTTTGTAAGTTGCAAACCAATTCTTGTACGGACACATGTGGAAAGTAGCACCAGAATCAAGAACCCAAGAATTTTGCCCATGACTAGAACTCACAGCACAAACTTCCCCTGCATAGTCACTATCATCAGAATTATTGCCAGTATCAATAATATTTGCCGAATTATCTATTTTCTGCTTCCCTCTTTTCTCCTTCAACTTAGGACAATCTCTCTTGTAGTGACCTTGCTCCCCGCACTCATAACAGTGTTGCTTCCTTGCTCTAGACTTTGATCTTGCGGTTGACTTTTTCCTGTTAAAGTCCTTTTGTTGTGTTCTTCCTCTAATCACAAGACCTTCGCCCTCAATTCTGCTGTCAGGAAAGCTCTTTAGATTTTAGTGCATTATTAACATCTTCTAGTGAAATGTTGTCTTTCCCATATAGCAGTGTATCGGCAAAAGTATCATAAGACTGTGGTAAAGAACATAACACAATCAAGGCCTGATCCTCACTCTCAATTTTGATACCCACATTCTTCAGGTCCATTATAATTGAATTAAGCTCATCAAGGTGAGTTTTAACAAGTGTACCTTCGTTCATACGGAGATTGTATAACCTCTTTTTCAGGTAGAGGCGGTTTGTCAGCGATTTCTTAGAATACAGATCTTCCAGCTTCTTCCATGCCGTTTTCGCAGAAGTTTCTTCAGCAATTTCCCGAAGAACGCTATCTGTAACGCTCATGAAGATCGCACTCAAAGCCCTCTCCTTCAGGTCTTCCTTCTTTGTCTCTTTCATATCTTTAGGAAAATCCTCATCAATTGCTTTCCATAATCCTTGTAACACCAGGGACGATTTCATCCTAATCTTCCATAGACTGAAACTAGAACCTCCGTCAAATTTCTCTACTTCCTACTTTGTTGAAGATGATGAAGACATCTTAACCCTAGATTATATGTTGAAACCCGAACCTTGCTCTGATACCAATTGTTGCGGAATATCATGGGTTAACTAGCACACAATCACACATAAAGCAAATAGAGCAGAAAAATCAACACAAGGATTTAACGAGGTTCGGCTAAGCCTAATCCTCGGGCAAAAGCAGAGATACTTTTCCACTATGAATGAGAAGAAAACCACAATACAATCTCTAGGATCCCCAACTACAACCCCTATATATAGATCCCAAAAGGTCCCAAACCTATAAGAGAAAGGTTTCCCAATTTGACAAGGACTATAGGTTTTCCTTTCCCAAATCTATTAGGACAATGTGTTTTCCTAAACCTATAGGGACTATGGGTTTCCTAAAAGTACAAGGAAATAATTCAAGCTACAAATAACAACTACTTTCTTTAAATCTGTATTATGATTATTGTTAAGTGTTTTCCATATTGTACTTGCAAGATTCTTTGTTGTCATTTTACTATATATTATATGTCGTACAAGGATCCAATTAACTAATCCCCTACTTCACCCGTTGATGTCACAGGTTGCATCCTCATTTTTTTGTTTAATTTTTCAGACTGGTTGGCTCATGCTCATGATTAGATTGATTATTGTCGATGTATCTCTTAAAGGGTTCTTAATGGCAGAAAACTTGTGACCTCAAGTTAGAAGATGTCTGAGATGAAGTAAGATGAATTGGAATCAACTATGAAGGTTTATATAACACATATTGGTTGTATTACTGGAATTAGGTGATACTCGAGTTGTTTATAGCTCCTATACAGAACTTTTATGACATTTAAGGTAGGATACAATCTTCTTCTTATTTTCTGATATTGGAACTGTTAGGCCCGTGCATCGCACGGGCATGA